CTCAGTTTCTTTGCAACAGTTCTCAGTTTTCGCTTTGATTCTATCTTCTACCTTACTGTCTTTCTCCTACTGCTTTATTCCAATGGGCAACGGAAATCGGCGCACAAAAGTGCATGGTTCTTGGTTGTACAAACTGAAACTAAACTTCATAACATCTCTCTCTGCCAACTCAAAATAGAATTAGCCCCCATGGTCGGACTGTCAACACCGGTTGATGCACTCCTGAATTGGTGGAATGTCTTCATCCCTAATAGATGGTATCTGTGATGCAAACACACGAGGCGTATCCCAAAAGGATTATTATCAAGAAAAGGACAGTATACATCTCTACCATTTAAAGTAGATGCAGAGATTGCGTGAAATACTATCACATACCACTCAGAACGGTTTCTTACTCTAAATTCGCTCCTCATTCGGCATCACCCTGCTGACTGAGATATGGATTAATTAAGCCCATCCCAAGTGCAGTTGTTTCGCACCTTGACACTAATCACACAGTAAATGTGACGGAATCTTAAAATTTATTCAAGCAGTTTACCTCTTTTAGCATCAGAATATATAATAATTGACTTTAACGAAGTATCACAAGTGCAGAACAAACATGGTCCAATGTTTTGAATCTTCAAAGCTAACGTTTCTGTTTCATTAGTAACCTCCCATAGCCTCAGTGTGGTCGGGGTTGGTGTCTTTGGTTGCGGCTGGTCGACCCTCCCTCGCACCTTGCGAAATGCTCCTGTACGACCAAGTGATCTAAAATAGCTTCAGCTGAGGAAGGCTTCTTCACTGCCGCCTTCCCGTGATGGAGGTGTTTTCCCAGCAAATTGAGGGGACGAAAAGCCAATATCCGGGGCTATAGCCGGATCGGTGAACCACTAGCAGTTCACGCAGGGGAGTTGGTTAAAAGCCCTAATTTCAAATCAACCAAGGATAAGCGTACCAACCACATTCACCCACACCTTCATTCATGTGGCAGTGGTCATCAGCTCGATTAGCTAGTCAAAGGCTCCGATTTTGAATTCTCTAGGAAAATTCGCCTGGGCAATCGTGCAGAGTTCCAACCTCAGACAAATCGTGGGTCCGTTTTCTTATAAAGATTAGGGTAGCATGATGTGTTTGACAGTCTGGATTCAGATGTGTGAAAATATATAACTATAAGTTAGTGAATATATATATATATATATATATACATGAAACTGAAGGTTGAGCATTCTTAGGTTGAGTCGCTATTGTGCCACTGGATCACATCTTTTTTTACTGTCTGCTAGTTGAACCCTGACTATACTTTCCCAGGGTACACTGCATCTCGCTATATTCCTTTCATTGTTTTCAGAATCTGAAAGAAATCATGGCTCTCCTCTCCGGGGCACAATGGTCTGATCGAAAAGACGGATTGGTCAATTTGCAAAGCTATATGCGGTCTGGCAGTGCACTCAGGTTAGTCCTGCCTGATTCACGTGCTGTCTATGTTCATTCATTCATTGTCACTACCACTCCGATATTTTTCTGTGCATTGAACCTCTTCTACTTTTTTCTGTTCAGTTTCGGTCAGAACTGCATCTTGACGTGATGTGATGGCTTGTGCACCACTCTGACCCAACGAGCCACACAGGGTGGCTTTTGTCAAGCCTAGTCATGTCTGGAAGGGTAGAGGTCGGACAAAGTCCAGTCTCCTAGTCATCCAAGTTAGGGGTTCGACTTGAGTTGGCGTCTAAGTCGGTAAAAGATGTTGGAGGAGCAATGGATCCAAGTAAATGGGCTCCCACTTTGCTTCACCCGCTGCCTTGTGGCTAGGTTCTTGTCAGAACTAAAGGCTTTGTCTGAGAACCCTGATCGTTCTCCTGCTTAGTGGCTGGACACCCTAGCAGCGTCCGTCCATCAAACTCCAATGCATATGCTTTGAGAGTTTGGCAGCGATCAGTGAAGTTCGCTTCCCCGTATTTCGCTGTACAATGGAAATAAGACAACTGAACTCTTTTCCCGTATGCTGTCCGTTTGGATTCACGTAAGCAATTGAATGATTTCAATAATGTTCAGCTCAGCGAATGATTTCGAGTGCAAAGTTGATGACGCGTATGCAGTAAGAAGAGGGGGTGCGTAAAACGCGCTGTTTACGTCCCATAGCATCGGAAGCATACATCAACAATCAGTCTAACAGACCTACAGTTAGACGGAACAATAAGGTGATTTACAAGAGCGCTTGCCCTGCTGTTGGTTTCCCGTCGTTCTTGTCCGTAGTTGTGTTAGCGATAGTAAATTGCGGTTCCTCAATCTTTATTAGTATCACGTATGGCATTGTTCGCTCTATGGATGCATATTACCCATCCTGACTTAATGTGTTCATGTTCCGATCTCCAACTGCTAAGTACCGATTGGGTCGAAACCTTTGAAGGAAATTCTCCTTCCGTTTGCTTCTTTTCTGTAACGTGAACCTATCACTAACAACAGATTTAACTCAAATTTATTTGCTTCCATTTAGATAGACGGTGTTTGAGTTTTCACTACAATGATTTGGTTTTTGTCCATGCAATTTCACAGTAAATTCTAAAGACCCTTAATTTTTTTCCCACTACAACCGAAATGTAACGCTATTAAAGGTATACAATTAAGTGAACGATGCAGTGAAGTGTGTGGGCTGGAGATGGCGGTGGGTGGGTGGGTGGAGGAAACGAGAGATGAGTGCAAACGTTTGACAGAGATTGGATGCATCTTTGAGCTTCAAATAATTCACCTGACGCAACCTGTGAAATCCGACGATTCACGTTTCCGTCATTCTTCGTAGATTGTATAGGACGCATGAGGAACACCCGCGAGGAGCAGGCTGAGTTTCGCACTGGTCGTGGATGCATCGATCAATTCTTCAGTCTCCGATAGCTGCTAGAGCACCGTCATGCCTACCAAAGACTAACGATCATTGTATTCTTAGACATTTGCGCGGTCTTCAACTCTGTCGATAGGACCGCACTATGGAATGTTTTGTTGAGGGATGGAGTACCTGAGAAATATGTGTCGTTCCTCAAAGAGTTGTTCGTCATACCTCAGGTCGGATCAGGGCTAACTTTCGCCACCCTTCGTCGTCTCCAGTGGAGTTCGATAAGGCTGCCCTATATCCTCATTCCTCTTCGAATTTGTCATTGAGTATGTTCTACAGAATGCTTTAACCGGTTTAGCAAACGGTGGAGTCGAACTCCCCCCTGGGAATAGATTCCTTGACTTGGAATATGCCGATGACATCGCCTTGCTGGGTGACAATGCACTGGTAGTCTAACAAGCCTTAAACCACTTGGCGATCGGGGTATCCATGTATGGTATGTGCTTTGCATCATCAGGGTGCAAAGTGCTTGTTCAAGACTGACCGGAGCCTGTCTGCACTTACTCTTTCTGGCGATCAGATAGAAATGGTTGAGGGCTTTGAGCACGTCTAGAGTCGGAGGTGGTGTTAGGGAAATGATCATGTCACGAAAAGCGAAAACTAGAGCTGTTTGCCGACCTACGACACGGGTGTCGCCTTGACATCCGATCCTCTCTTAGGTGAAGGGTGTACATCATCGCACTTCGTAGGGTTCTGCTTAACGGTTGCGAGACCTCTCTGAACGGAGGATACTGATCGACTTGCCGTATTAGACCACTGATGCCTTCGAAGCGTTGCTCATGCTTAATGGCAAAATTGGGCACGTTTTCGGTTTCCGACTTTGCTCTTTTCCATTTTAGCTAGGCTTTTAGGGACAGGCCTCCTCTAGGTTTTGGGAAATAAAGCGATACACTTCAAGAAAATACAGGGCATTTCTCACGAAAAACTCAAATTAAACGCGTTCAGCGACCAAGAATTTATTCCGAATTTTAGCAGATCATATCAATCGACTCCTTCATCACACCAAAGTCAGCTATAGTTGACTGATTAGAGGCGTTAGTGGCGGTGGAGATTAAGTGGCCTAAGTCCCAAATACTGACGTTCACTCCCTTGTTAGGCGCTTGTAACCTGCAGTCAACATCAAGTTTTAGTGGTGGGCAGGTCTACTGCTGCTAGCAGGTTCACTGCGAAGCTTTTCATACTAAGGTTTGAAGTAATTCGCTGCTCCCTGAGCTTATTTTCCCGATTGGTTTAACCAAAGGATGAAGCTATAGTCCATTTCTACATTCTACTGTATGTTGATCAGCAAAGATACGGACAATACAACTTCGACTTTCTTCAGAGCCATTTCGCTTTTTATGCATCCTGGTTCATTATCTTTCAATAAGCAGTGGGATTACTCGGTAGTTTAGGCAACGATACAAATCGCCTTACCCAAAGGGATTCACCTCAAGATGAATGCCTTGATGTCGAATACCGAGCTAACTTTGGAACACAAATCCGAAGTCGAACAATTGTTTTCAATTCGTCATAATCCTCCGTGTACAGATCGTGTGATGGTTTGTTAGTGGAAACCAGTTTTCACTCTTGTCCGGAAGGTTATTCGGGACGGGGGACGGATGGGCTAATCGTCTGTGCTTGTCCTGTTAGGCTGAAGTCGATTGTGGTTGGACCATCGATGTTGGTCATCATTGTTTGTGGGCACGAAAACAGGAACATCTGCCATGTCAGTGGCGGGTAGTGTGTGTAAGCACACTATCGTAGACAGGTTGAGGGTGTGTGCGTCTCTCTCCACTCCATAGACATGTCTTGGCGCAAATTCTGATCTTACCTGTGACTAAATGACCAAGAAGAATGCTTCCCATATTTCCTGTCTTCTACCTTAATCACGTTAGACAGTGTTTCTTCATCGCTCGCTTTACGGCCTATGTAGGCTGCACGACAAGGGTGCTTGGATGAGTAGGTCACCATGGCAATGCCCGGTTTAGCTAGCATTTCTGATTTGCGCTGTGAGATAGGTTGTCAATACACGGCAATCATGTTACAATCTAAGTCCTTTCTGTCGCACGTGTTTAACGTTTGTTTAACAGCTCAAATATTATATCTTGTTAGAAAAGGCGATGGATGAATTGTTTCTTGTGCGCTTCGCGGACTGGTTCGAATAGTGGTCTCCTAATAGTTTCGATTAACCGTTCAACTGTGTATTCAGGTAACGCTTAGAAAAGCAACCTAGCGGATTGATTATGCGAAAAAACGAACTGGAAGAAAGGTAACGATTAGGAACGGTAATGAGAAGATTCATTTGGTCAGATACGTCGTGCATAGAGATGAACGCGTTTGTGTTTCCAATGTGTGCATATTCTTGATTCCATTCCATTACCGGTAATGCCATTATGTCGCACTGGTTAAAACGTGTGTGGGTCACCATCGAACGCCTCTGTAGTCACCTAGATTCCACACTTCGTTGTAAACTAGTGAAGCCCTTCAATTAGTCTGTTCTCCTCCTCCACCTGGCAGTCGATTAAAGAGCCATATATTTCAATCAAAACAAATGAAAAGATAATGATAAACACCTAGGGTGGTCAAGTGTTATGGGTAACCATTGCATCAAGTTCCAACTCACCACACCATTTCACCCCACAATTCTAACTCTGCTTTGTCCCATTCAAGTCCCTGATTGGTCGCATCTTCTTTCCTAAACATTAATGGTGCACTAATCTATCTAATCAACGGAATTGAAATAAATGAATGTTAGAATAAAGCGATAACATAATTCCACTATTGTACAGTGTGTTTATTTGAGAAATGCTTAACAATGATGAGTAACCAACTGCATTCCAGAGCGCAAGTAGTGCTCAGTGCACTTGGGTATAAGAGGCCACATGCATCTGTTAATGCGCATTACTCCGTTTCCTTCCACACAGTCTATAATGCTCTCTGCTCNTGCAGGATGTGTTCGCTTCCGCATGCACTTTCTTATCCAGTTCTCTCTGCTTCAAATTTGTGCTCTCTTCTAGTTAACAGACGTGCGAACCTAATTATCGTTTTAATTGATCAGTTCATCGCACTCGGTGTGCATTGTCGGATAAAATCCCAGCATGAAATAGTACTTTTTAGTCCATAGAACCATAAGTATGTACCACGTATTTGGTGATTTCGAATCTATTTCAACGTAATCTCGCTTCGTACTTGTCAAAGTTCCCCAAACCGAATGCGTTTGATCTTGCTATCAGGTCTTCCCGTAGATTTTGTCAATCATTTGTGTTGAAATGGGCGGACAGTCAGAGAGTAATTTGACAACTTTGTGGTACACGTGCGGGTTTGCGAGTGTTTGTGTGTGTGGCATATAAACCAGGTTTAATCGCGTTGAAAATGGTTAGGATGCAGTTTTAATGGCCTTGGATCGGTGACTCCGAATTGGTTAGAGAGGACAAAACGCTTCGTTCACGCTGTGTGTGTAATTTGATTCGGTGAGGTGCGAAGCAATGATACTTGTGATAATTTCATTTTTGCCGAAAGTTCAACCATGTGTCCCGACTCTTACAGCTAGGTGCCTGCCTGATGTATTTAGCTTACTGATGAATCACCGAAAATAAGCTTCCCGGTAAGCTTTTTTGGATATGCGCTACTGGTATATCCCGCCTCCTCCTCCTCCTCCTCCTCATCAATTTACAGCGTAATACAGTGAAGCGAACTTCACTGATCGCCGTCAAACTCGT